GCTCACCCCCTCCCTCTCTCTCTCTCTCTCTCTATCTATCTCCTTCTGACCCACTAAACAAATCAAAATCGGGTATTTCTGCTCATTTGTATCTCGTCTGACTTCTTTCCATTTGCAGTCTTTCAATTTTGGAGCGACCTCCGGCGGAAGTGCTACCGGTGGTACACCGGGTTTCTCTTTCGCAGCTCCCCAACCTGGTACTTGGAAATGACATATAGGCATACATAGTTTGTGATATTACATACATACGCACACAATCCGTCTGTATGTGATGTGCACCATTCGTTGTCAGCCATTTTTGTCATCTCTGCATCGAATGTGTGATATTTGTTGTAAGCACACGAGACCCGTTTCGACATCTGTTTCCTCCGCATTGCGCCCAAACACATCACATCCACGACGATTCGAGCTCATAACCCATTTCAATTGGTAAGACATGTATATTGACTTTAGTCCCGTTTTGAGGCCGATGCAGTTGTGGCTTACTTGTGCATTGCAAGTGCAAGTGTTTTGCGAATATTGCAATACATTACCTTGTGTGGCTTGTAGTACCTGGTGCTAAACCGTCTGATAGACTTGCATAAGCCGATAGTAAAATATTTGGAGGATGAAGACACTGTCCTAGTTGAGGCTTGTTCCTGTTTATCAAGAATGCCTTACTGAGAAGTACTATTGTTGTGCATTCCCTGACTTCCAGCAATTGCTTCTGGCCCGTCGTGGGCTATCCTGTAGTGTGCTCAACTTGCACTTGCGCGCGAGCACCTGGCGTGGCTTGTATTCATATAGGAATGCATCGGCGGTATTGTGGAGCCCAGTTCTATAGTTGTTTATTATATACTTTTTACGTTGCAAATACTACGATGTGTCTCCTATTCGTGACCACGCCGCACCAAATATGGAATATCGCGACAACTATAAACAGACATGAATTCGACACTATGCTAAGGCCTTCCAAGCTCGCATAAAGCCAAAAGTCCAACCCTTGCTATCTGCACCCAAAATACAGCAGCAACAGGTGCAACCGCGGCCCCGTCTTTTGGGGCTGGGGCAGTTAGTGGCACACACGCTAAAACTGGCTTCAGTGGGTTTGGTGTGCCTAAGACGAGCACGCAAGGCACGACTCAGTCAGGGACACTCGGTGGCTTCGGCGGGGGGGCAGCACCTGCACCTGCAACAAGTGGATTTGGTACGCCTGCTGCTACCGGGGGTGTGTTATGTGGACGTGGTGGATTTTTCTGCTCCCTTGCCGACATATAGTCTATGTTGCGCGTATAATTCTAATTAGTCCAGATAGGTGCTGCGCTCTTGTCTGCTATTAATGTTATAGCCGCCGTCAACCGAAAGGTGTAGAAAACGTTAAGTTGTTGGACAGGTCTTGGTGCGAATGCTTGGAGTGAATGGTAGCTTTTGGACCTACCAATAAATTGACTGTTTTCATACCCAAATAACCGCCTCCGTATGAATGCCTTTCAAAATTTCTTTGTATTTTTGTTCAGGTGCGGCCGCGGCAGCCCCTGGTAATGGAGGTTTATTCGGTGGAGCACCCGCGACGAAATCTGCGCCGTCAGCAGGTAAAGCAAATTCGAAGTAAATTTCTGTGTAGCGCCTCACAGACAATCATGTAATTTTCTTTGCTAGTCGTCATTCTAATGGTGTTTGTCGAGTAATATATACTGCCTTTCGCTGATGGTGCGTTCGTTTTAATATATCTTGGGGGGTTGTGTTCTGAGATAGGTGAGGGCCCGGTAAAGGTTACTCAACAATATGCGTATTGTCGAGTGAGTCAGTGTGTAACTAGCATCTAAATTTCAGTCAGTGAGTATTCAGAGGTGGCCTCCAGGGTTTTACGAACGATCACTGCACAATTGCGTGTTATTCAACGTTCGAGCGGGATGAGCACGACCGCGTATAAACGAATCCTACTGAATCGCTATACTGGGCCATTACTATAGACTAGTCCAAACAATCAGCCTATATGCGTTCGGACCAAAGAGAATTTATGTTGTTACTTTGTCCCAATAAGCTATTCTATATGTTAAATTGTCTTTTTCGACGGCATACATATTCAAATACTGGCCACACTCGCATTTAAAGTACAGTCTCGCCATTCTTGAGGCTAATCCGCGACAAACTTCGACAAACTTACCATGTGTAGGTAGCTTCCCTGGCTTCGGAGCCAAACCGGCCGCTTCCACCACCGCAGGACAGCCACCCACCGCGCTTTCCTTCGGAAGCGGTGCACCAGCTTCAGGCACTGGTACGTGCAGAAAATTCTCTTACTTCTATCTATGCTCGCCGTTCATACTTTCTACAATAAACTACTCCGATTTGCTAGTGAAGTATTGTCGTTGCCTCATGTTGACCAGATGGTTTTATGCAGTTGACGGTATTGTGTCTCTGGTAGAGCCTATCTTGACCCGCATGATTGGTATTATCCTCATATTAACCCTTTATGGCTCTTCTCTCAGGTGCGCCTGCTGGTGGTCTCTTTAGTGGGGCCGCTCCCAGTGCCACAGGGACAAGCTCTGCAGCCCCTCAGACCAATTTATTCGGTGGTGGTGCACCCGCAACCACAACTGCGGCTGCAACTGCACCTGCACCTGCCGCGGGAGGGCTGAGTTTCGGAGCGGTCAATGCTAATGCACAGAAGCCTGCTACTTCTGGGCTGACTTTTGGTGCTGCGGGAGGTGTGTGTGTGTCAATGTCTACAGTGAATTCTATTGAGCTGTACCTATTATATTCATTGGTTTGTTTGTTATGGTGCCGGCTTTTGTTTTGGGTTATGGTTTAAAGGTGGGACCAAACGGGACAGAAAACTTTCTGGTTGGAGAGTGTAGCTACGTATAGTTGTATCTTTGGGATTTGTATCTCAAACACTTCCGTTTCACACACAATGTCACTTCTATATTTTTTTTTGGGGGGGGGGATTTCGATTGTCTGTGACGAGATCAAATTTTTGTGTGACTTTGGGGATGTGACGAGTGTGATCATACCACAACACCACTGTGTATTTAAATTTCTGATCTATTTTTTTTAGTACATATAAGGACCACTGCGGGCTACCTCGGCGGAAATGCCTTGTATCTTTCAAGAACAACTTCGTTTCACCCTATCGCTTTCCCAATCAATATCACAACCAGCACAAAGAGTCATTGTTGGGCAACTACAATACATTTCTCAGGCACCACCACCACAACTCCTGCTACCGGATTGTTCGGTGGAACATCAAATGCGCCCAAACCAGCCGCCGGCGCAGCCTCTTCAACATTGGGAGGTGCCGTAGGTTCTACTGACACTGCTGCTAGACCGGCTGGTATTAGCTTCGGTGCCTCTGCTCCCGCCACAAACGGTAATTGAGTATCTGTGTTGTGGGTTAGCGTTGTCGTATGACATGTCGATTGGAACCAGCTTGCGTTGGTGATTTATGGTGTGAATTCAGGGGAGCTATGTCTTAATGCTGTTGTAATCTAGCTCCTGCTATGATCAGCCACGGATTGTTTTTGCGATTTTATTCTGGATGCGAATCCGTCGGAACGTGGTAGTTTTATTTGTGCTTGTTCCTTTTGTGCTCATGTATGGGAGAATCACCAATACAATGCCTTGCCTTCGTCCATGTGAGAACTTGCCACAGAACCATCATTTACTAGATTGGTCGTCGGCTCGAGTTTTGCCGCGCTGTGTGACTTTGTCTGTGTGCTTGCCAGTCTAGTATTCCATCATGCGTTTGTGCGTGTCCCGACAAAAGTTATGTGAGTGATTCATCATTTTACACACTAGAGACCCATAGGGCGGCACAGCGACATGGGCTAGGGTGCGTTCAGCGGTCAGTCAACTACCGTGAGCAACACGATCTCACAGTCAATCTTGATTCTGTTACTCATACTATCGGTCGATTTATTCCTGGCACAGGAGCCACTGCGCCCGCATTCAATATGGGGGCGCCGGCATCGGGTTCGGGTGCTGCTCCAAAGAGAGGCTTGTTCTCTAGTGCAGGTGCGTTAGCATTCGTTTGCATGCATGTTGCTTATGGGCTTCCCATATCTGCTGACTTTTGATGTCGCCAAGTCGACATATAAGGGGGTGTGCGTGGTTTGGATTCAAGATGAGTTGTCCGTACTGCATTAAATACAAACATTTGACTGAATTACTATGGAAGCACTTGTATGTGATTAGGTTAAAAATGCTTATTAATCTGCGCCAGACTGTGGCACAAACGTAGCATAGAAAGTACACCGCAGATGGAGAATAAACACGTATGTGCACGCGTGTAGTGCATCGTAGGTAGGAGTGTACCGGTAACCCGAGAACCTTTTTATACATTTTCTTTGCAATTGTGTGTTTGTATTTGAAACCACTTCAACATACGATGTAGTCGAATGAATTCGTGCTTTTGTCTGTATTTTACTTTTCTGTTTGTCCTTTAATTGCATATCGTACAGACATTACAATTATGTGCGCGTAATCCTGCGTGTATTTGTGCTATTTTGAAAATATGCTAGGCATCATCTCCATCGTGTGCTCGTCATTGGCTGCGTTTAGCTACGCTATTTGTTTTGATCGTTTGTAAATGATTGCACTTTGCTACATATTCCGCCATTCCTTAAGGCCGCGTTTTATATCTTGACTCTATGCTATAGCTCCTGCAGCCTCCACTTCCACTTCCACTACGGCCCACGGAACAACTGCGACAGGCTCCACGACAGCACCAGCTGCCAATGGGGCAGATACATTTAAAGCCCCCGCACCAGGTATGATAAATCATGTTTAGCTGTTATTAAACACTGATGGTTTAGCTGCCCGGCAGTCTCTGTATTTAGTGCTTGTACTCGAATATACATGTGGTCATTTTCTTGTGAGGGTGTGGGTCCTCAGCTTCACACTGATAATGAGCTTCCCAACTCGTGAACGATTCTACACGTGTGTATGCACTTTATACAGTCCGATGTGCATAGAACGATCGCCATATTGCAGTCTTTATGCACTTATATCTTCATTGTAAGCTTTCGATCAAGCTCGAACTACAGCCATTCACATACTACACTTACGAAATTTTGCCTCTGAACAAACTGTGTATTCTTAATTATCAAATGTACATGCACTTGTATCCAGCATGAATATTCCATGATCAGTATCTAAACTACGGACACCGATGCACATATTTCTCGTCCAATTTATATTCAAACGAATCAATACAATATCAAACAATGTATACTATGTGCGTCTGTTATAAATCAATATGCTCACAACGTGCGAATACCACGCAAACACGTATGTTCATTACAAATACTTCAAATCAAGTGAGAGAAACCGCCACGCTGTATCTTCTCGTACTCGAGGGGAAATATCACTTCGTCCCATGTGTACATCTCGGGCGCAGGCTCATAACCCTGATTGCAATATGCAATAAGCTAGACTGGTAAACCCCTGCGATACTAATTTAATCCTCGTCAAACCCGACTAGGTACCACGGCGTCTTCCAGTACAGCACAATCGGCCACGGCTGCACCAGCACCTGCTGCCGCTGATACCGCCCCAGCCCCAACGACCAAGCCATCAGAGATTACAAACATGAAAGTACAAGAAATTGTCGACTCATTCAATCGCAAGTTGGAGATGCATACACAAGATTATTGTAGGCACGCGCTGGATATTCGAAATCTAGATCAAATGCTCATCAAAAATCAAGACGCGGTAGGTATAGGGGTCTTTGAGTGAAATGATTTGGACCCTATCGTAGTGTAGCCGTATGTAAACTCTGGTCTGTACTGTTTTGTGTCCGAGTCTGTGCGACTCAACTTCGATGTTGAATACAGCATGAATGCTCTCTAGCGCCACCTAGGTATATGTTGTGTACATATTATATGATTCGCACGTGTGCATTGGGGAACAACCAACATCATGATCATCATGGGCCTGTATCCGTGTTCATGCGCTGGGCATTTGCGTTTCTGATTGCTCTGAATCATTTAATAGATTGAGGGTGTTTTCGGTGAATTAGAAGAGGTCAAAACCATGCAGAAGAGGCTCAATCAGGAAATAGACTACATCGATGCCCACCAAAAAGACATAGGCGAATACATAAACGAACAGAAAAGCCAAGCGCGTATGAATGGTGCGAAAATGAATGCGAGAGGGCAGGCTTACACAAGCGGGGCCAACCCTTCAGATCGGAAGACAATGTTAGAAACTCTGGAGGACGTGAATCGGCAACTAAACAAGGTGATTGTACCTACAGCGTCTCCCGCTTGTGTATCGAGTGGTGGTTGTGTGTGCTCGCCGTGCATCTATCTTGGTCGCGTATTCAATGTCAAAGGCAATGCATTTGTTTGAGAATGTATATGAGACTATTAGTTGCTTTGACCTGCTGCAACATCCTCACATGCATACCAATTGTGCTAGTATATTGCATCGCACAAGCGATGAGAATGTATTTGTGCACTATAGTGTCAGATACAGTGAACGGCAACGCTTCATTTCATTGCTGTCTTCTGAGTCAGAATTATATATGCTAAATCACGCTCGCAGTAGTTGTAAAGGGAACACACTTAGGTCTATAAACGTCTACAAATTAAATTTCGTCGTAAATCTTCTCCATATACTATTTTCTTCATTTATTTCTTTCTCATATTCACACACTCAGGTGGACGAACAACTTCGCGGCGTCATAGAGACAGTGAACAGTACTACACAGGATCCGAATCAAGAAAATACGATAGACAAAGTCGTAGATATCCTTAATTGCTACTTGGAGAGTTTGCAGTGGATTGATAGCAATGCAGACAAGCTCGAACAACGCATGGTTATGACGAAGCAAGGCTTGGCGGAAGCACGACAAAACCTGTCCCGTTTGCACTACTAGAGATTGGTCGTACTAGTATTCGAAATTAAACTTATGTCCTGCTGACTGACACATCAGAACCGATACGGTCTCATACCTCGAGTTGTGTTTTATATCAAAATCATGTCCCGCTGGAGTCTATCTTTACCTGCTCGCTACGCTGTGTTTACATTCCGTGACAAACACGGCTTAAATGTGAGTTTTTTTTTGTTTTTTTTTAAAGCGTTCCCACTAACAAAGTGGTCAACGTGCCTGATTTCACTTCGGGTATTGTTTTTGGTTCTGCGATGTGAAGGGTTCGGAACTAACTCTCGTGTGTCATGTGTACGTCTAACGATTCAATATGAAAAACAACTGCTTAAATTCATCGAGCAGCTGAATGTCACATCTAAAATATGCTTACAGTTTATTCAAACGATATTGAAAATGAGTGGATCTTTGCGGCTAAGGCGGTCTACCAGCCCAAGGAGTTTTACATATCGAGATACATTTTTTTTGTTACGAAATAGCTGTTTTAGGTATATTTGCTTTCCTGAAGGAAGTAATATATAGCCTTTCGTACACCTGTGTATATATACTGATGCCCGCCCTTTTTGTGCGTTAAGTTAGCAGTGTTATTATGGCGGACATGATACCCGCTTGCGCCAAGGTTTTGTAAAAATAAAAAGATAATTCTAAACGAGTGTATATGAAGCGGTTGTGTGCATGCATGTACAACAACGATACAAATGACCAATACATGTGTGGCTTGCACGGAAGTATACTGTTCGCATATGTGCTCTGCGAACGAAGATTTCCATTTGGCGGAAATGATAGTCGCGTATTCCGCCCCATCCGCAAAAGCAAAACACGACAATTAGAACTTCTTTCGGCTACTATGGAGATTCCGATATCTTCCATCATAATGCGCCAAAATATACATGTCTATCGCATCAAGCACACCTGAAAACACAGCGTCAACTATTGGATTTTCTAACAAGATCATAATGTAGTGCTGCTTTGATGTGCGTAAGGGTCGCTTTATGCCCAATTATATGCGTATACCGATTATTCGCACCATTGACTATGTATCAAACATTTCAGACAGTTTTCGTCTACCATGTGCCTGCATAGACATCACATACCCACCTCGACTACGCTTTAATTCGTTTGACTCTAAAGTTTTCCGACGTGCCTGTATAGGCGTGTGGTAGCGCAAATCGACTCCGTCTTATTCCTGTTGACTCCAAATGAACATCTATTGGTACAGCTTCAAATCGAATTTTATGAATATGGTTCGAGTGGTATCATGTGTGAAGTCGGCAATATGTATATGATTGTATCGGTCATGCTACTTTCATCCAGGTCCACAATCATCAAGTAATATCAATATGTTGTATCTCAGGTTTTCGCAGGTGGTTAAAATTCCAATGCTCAGCTTCCTCGGGAGTTCTACTGGGACCCCTGATTCAATATTTGAAGATACTGAATTACTTTGATTTTTCTAGTTGAAGTTGAAATATAAATGCCTTTTCCAAACAGGCGATAACGGTGCCCGCTCGTTGCATCATAGTGAAGACATGGCCATAGTGAGATGCCCTTACATAAAGTAATTTACAATGTTACTATTGATTTGCCCTGAGTCGTGTGGTGGAAATTATTATGGTGTGCTGATTCTATGCGATAGGTGAAATCTGGTACCAGATCTAGTAGTGATTCTCGCAGATCGGGCTACACGTACGGGGCCTTTGAAATATCGCTGACGAAGAAAATATCGCCTTTGATACAGGTGCGCTGTAAAACGAGAACAATACAAATCAGTCAAAGGGACGAATTAATATCGTACACTCGGTCGAATAGTGTCGTTTGTAATAAGACATTTCAATAGGGCATATATCTGAGGTTTTCGTACAATGAAATGTAGTCATGAGAATTCTTGTGGCAGTATCCAATGAGATGAATTTTGACATGCAACTGATCATACAACTACGGTTCCTTCGGTCCTCGGATTTGTGGCGAGGGTGATTATACATTTTTGTGTACTGTCACAAGACTACTCTTCAAGTTCTTGGAGCAATGTATAAAAACCTCACATGAATGCCTTATTGTACAGTCATCCGACATATGTAAATATTCGACCGAGTGCACGACATTAATTCGTCAACACTGACCGATCAGTAAGTTATATATTTGCCAATACGGCCAAGAGCTAGGCCGTTGATACTCTCGGGGGGATTAAAAGGCCCACTCCTACTGGTTTGATATACACGAACCAACAATACGGGCTAATACTGCCAAGAGTAAGGCCATTGATAATTTCGTGATCATCTAGAAGCACACACTTGATTTGATGAACCCGAACCGAAAAGGACGAGGCAACGTGAGTAGCACCCGCCTATGTCATGGTATTGAGCTTGCTTTTTATGATATGAATTCAAGATACAATTTGCATTACATATCCCGCTGACCACACCGGAAATTAGTCAGAAACCAAGAGTTATCTTGTGATTACACGGACAGTCTATAGGAGGTTAAAGTTTGAATCGAAACCGAACGTGTCATTCTATACCCGATAGGGTTTTTAACATTAACTTGGCAACCTCTTAGTGAGAATTTGCTGGATCTACAATGTTTCAACCGATCTATGCGAAGTATAGGGCCCGTACCTTTGTATCTATGAGTTGATCCATCAGCTTACTATGTTATGTATCTGTATTTTTTTGTGTTCAAACCATCAGTTGATTGTAGTTTGCTGTGTCTACCTTATATAGGGACTCCAGTAAAGAGAAAGCGTACTCAAATGCATTTGTTTCGCAACTAGGGGTAATATTATTTATTTCAATTTGGGTAAATTATTATATGTCTATATGCACATCAGACTCCATATTCGTTAGAGAATTCTGTGAAGATTTGAGGGAAGTTAAGATTGTCGTCGAACTGCCGGAGAGAGAAAAATGTCAGAGAAAACAAGTTATGTCGTGACTCAACGAACCATTTTTAAAAGAATAAAAGTTTGAAACGAAACCAAACGTATTATTCTAGAGCTGATAGGACTTTCAACAGCAACTAGGCAAACTCCTAGTTAAATTTGCTGGATTTACAGTCTTTGACACGATTTATGCAAAGTACTGGATCCATATCTTTATATCTTTGAGGTGATACATTTTTTTGTATATGCTTATTTAATGACCAAATCATCAGTTGGTTGTAATTGTGTGCTTGTATATTGAGAGGGACTTCCGTAATAATAAAAAGGTAATCAAACGCACATATACCCCAACTGCTATTTTGTCAGAATAACAAGAGTTATCTCCTTTTTTTATCTTTAAGAAATTACAAGTTTGAATCGAAACAAAACGTATTATTCTGAATCCGAAATGTATTTAACATTAACTTGGCAAACTCTTAGTGACAGTTTGCTCGATTTACAATTTTAACCAATTTATGCAACTATAGGACCGATACCTTTGTATTTATGAGATGATCCATCAAATGACTATGTTATGGATAGTGACTAAAGTGTAGGTTTAAGTTTTACGTATCTGTTTATTTGACTCGAGACACACAAAGAAAATATTTGAGATAAGAAGTATGAATCGACACCATCCGTATACTTCTATAGCCAAAACTGCTTTTAACATCAACTTGGTAAACTCCAAGTAAAAATTTACTGGTTTTACAACATATCAACCGATTTACGCAAAGTATAGGATTATATCAGGCACTATATTCCCAAAACTTCCATACCAGCGCATACAGTTCTTCGCTTTTGCTGTTTACTTCCAGCACGTCAATTTGCGGAGTACCTTGGTGACTGCCTGGGACTACATCTTGACTCAATCAACAGTACAAACCCACTCGCCCCACTTACAAGACCCGCTTGGACACGTAACAGACCTCCGGACAAATTTCCGTTCAGTATTTACGCTTTTCTAGAATCAAAGGGCGGGTGTACACCTTAACACAAGGAACTCCGTAAGCTTCGCGAGCAGATCCGACATAATACCCTACAACGTCTCACAACCAAGGAGATAGCAGGCAAGGCTCGCCCGTCAATACTACTACCGACTTATAAAGGGAGAACCTCCCATCACGGACCAGGACAAGCCATCCCATAGTAGCTTTACCCACTGCCGCGAACACACTCTAATCCCCATTTGTGCCATGATAGCAACCAACACATTACTGTTCCAATTGCTTGACTATCGTACCGGTGGGTGCCTCTGTCCTATATGCCCCGGAGATAAGACCTCTACGTCCATCCACTTTGCTTGTATCAGTTCTCTGATAAGGCGTATTCTGGTGGCCCTAATTCAATTGGACCGAACTTACTACAACAACTACAGGATCGGCATGATTACCACGGCATATGGACTCTCCACGAACGTCTCGGAAGCTTTCTTCCTCCATGAACAATAGGCACCAATTTATCCCCATCCAGTACTGGTCGATAGATTGATGCTCCCCATACCCCGTCTCATCACTTTACTGAAGCACTATTTTCATATTTCGGTACAGACCAAATCTTCGAGACTTCTGGTACCACCTATGATACTTCCCGCTATAGCTAGCCAGGATATTACAATTACATCAGTTGTGTGGTGTAGTGTCGGATAGCCCCCAACTTCGCTCCGAAACAGAATTGCGATTGACAACCTCACCCTTCTTGGTATCACGTTCAAAATATCTCAGACCGACTCAGCCCATATTATCACTACAAGTGTGGGCCAGCTTTATTTCACGCAATGGCACACAGGTTTTAGTTCTCACCCGGTGGTAGATGTATGCCGTATCCATCGCCGTGAACTAACGCACCGTATGTCTTCCATCGTTGCATCACTCGCCCCGAGCTTCTCGCGACAGTTCGACAATCTCAACTTCCCTTCAATTTCCCAGAACCTCTCCAACGACTATGAAGCCTGATGTACATGTAGACATATAAATCTCTAACCAAATTCCAATACCCATTTGTGCCATGATAGCAACCAACACATTACTGTTCCAATTGCTTGACTATCGTACCGGTGGGTGCCTCTGTCCTATATGCCCCGGAGATAAAACCTTTACGTCCATCCACTTTGCTTGTATCAGTTCTCTAATAAGGCGTATTCTGGTGGCCCTAATTCAATTGGACCGAACTTACTACAACAACTACAGGATCGGCATGATTACCACGGCATATGGACTCTCCACGAACATCTCGGAAGCTTTCTTCCTCCATGAACAATAGGCACCAATTTATCCCCATCCAGTACTGGTCGATAGATTGATGTTCCCCATACCCCGTCTCATCACTTTACTGAAGCACTATTTTCATATTTCGGTACAGACCAAATCTTCGAGACTTCTGGTACCACCTATGATACTTCCCGCTATAGTTAGCCAGGATATTACAATTACATCAGTTGTGTGGTGTAGTGTCGGATAGCCCCCAACTTCGCTCCGAAACAGAATTGCGATTGACAAACTCACCCTCCTTGGTATCACGTTCAAAATATCTCAGACCGACTCAGCCCATATTATCACTACAAGTGTGGGCCAGCTTTATTTCACGCAATGGCACACAGGTTTTAGTTCTCACCCGGTGGTAGATGTATGCTGTATCCATCGCCGTGAACTAACGCACCGTATGTCTTCCATCGTTGCATCACTCGCCCCGAGCTTCTCGCGACAGTTCGACAATCTCAACTTCCCTTCAATTTCCCAGAACCTCTCCAACGACTATGAAGCCTGATGTACAAGTATACATATAAATCTCTAACCAAATTGAAAAAAAAATTATTTTCCTTATTTCAACCGATTAGTTCAAAGTATAGAACCCATGTCTTTGTATCTATAAAGTGATCTGTCAACTTACTTTGTTATGAATAGCGATTGAAGTGTAGGTTTCTGTAGTATCGATGTGTTTATTTAGTTTGTTTATCAGAAGACCTATCTCGTGACACACACGAACACTGTTCAAGTTATTCTAAGTTTAAAGCAAAAACAACCGTATCTATTATTCTATAGCGGAGAGGGCTTTGCTGGATATACAATGTTTCAAACAATTTATGCACATAGGACCCATGTTTTGTATCTATGAGGTGATAAATCACCCTATTATGTTATATAGCGACTGGGGTACAGAGGTATGTTATGTGTATCTAGTTATTTAGAGTTCGAACCCATCATTTGGTCGTAACTTGCTGTGTCTAACTTATAGAGGGACTCTCGTAAGCAGAAAGAGTACTCAGATGCATATAACAACTGACATTTTGTCAGAGAAATTAAGAGTTACGTTGTATCACAACAGACAGAGTTGAAAAGGTATTAAAAGGTTGAATCGAAACCAAACTTATTACTATATAGCCGAAAGGACTTCCAACATTGACTTAACAAATTCTTACTGAAAGTTACCTGGATTTCAAATGAATTATGCGAATTATAGGTACTGCGTCTTTGTATTTATGAGGTGACCATCAACTTACTATACTATGAACAGCAAATGAAGTGTAGGATTCTGCTATGCATTTGTTTATTTGATTTTATCGCAGAAAACATATCTCGTGAAACACATGGACAATCCTTAAGATCCTTGAAGTTTGGACCGAACCCAAACGTATCGGTTTAGAGTCGAGAGATATTTCATCATTAACTTGGCAAATTTAGTGAAGATTTGCTGGATTTAGAATATTCCAACCGATTTCTCCATAAACGAACAATCTTTAAGATATTTAAAGTTTGGATCGAACCAAAACATGATATCAAAATCGAGAAATATTTCATCATTAACTTGGCAAACTCTCAGTGAAGTATTGTTGAATTGACGATATTCCAACAGATTTGTCCATGCAGGACCCATGCCGTTGCATCTATGATGTGATCCATCAATTTATTACGTTATGGATAGCAACTGAAGTGGATGAGTCTGTTTTACGTATCTGTTTATTTGGTGTTCAAACCATCAGTTGGTTGTAATTTGCTCCGTCTCATTTCTAGAGGAACTCTCGTAAAGGGAAAGCGTACTCAAATGCATTTATTCCGCAACTTATATTTTGTCAGAAAAATATAGAGTTATGTCGTGACACAATGGACAATCTTTACGATATTTGAAAGTTTGAATCAAAACCGTACTATTCTATCGCCAATCTAGTTAGAATTTGCTGGGTATACAATATTTTAAGCGATTTATGCAAAATATAGGACCCATGTTTTTATATCATTGAGGTGATCCATCAACTTACTATGATGTGAATAGCGGCTGAAATGATGTATTCAACACATCAGTTGGTTGTCATTTGGTTCGTGTAACTTGTAGATGGACTCCAGTAAAGAGATAAGGTACTCAAATGCATATATATCCCGAATTATATTCGTCAGAATATCAAAAAATTTCTCGTGACACACACAGACAATCTTTAAAAAGAAAATATATTGAATCGAAACCAACCGTATTATTCTGTAGCTGATAAGTCATTCATCATTAACTTGACAAACTCTTAGTCAATATTTCCTGGATTTCTAGAATTTCAAATAACTATAGGACCTATGTTTCTCTGTACCTATGAAGTATCCTATCAACTTACTACTTTATGGATAGCAACTGATACGTTGTCAGAGATAACAAGAGGTATGTCGTGACACACAGGACAATCTTTGAGAGGTTAAAAATTTCAATCAAAACCAAACGTATCATGTTTATTGAAATATTTACTAATTTTACGATATTTTAAGCGGTTTATGTGAAAGTATTGAAACAGCGTCTTTGTATCTATGAATCAAATCATCAACATATTATGTGATGGATAGCAACTGAAGCGTAGGTTTCTTAAGTATCCGTTTATTCAGTGTCCGACCCATTAGTTGGTTGTCATTTGATGCGTGTAACTTGAATCAGGATTTCCGTGAAGAAAAGCGATACTCAAATGTACAATTCCCAACTGATATTTGTCAGAATAACAAGAGCTTATCTCGTGACACACACGGACGAGCTTCAAGAAATTATATACTTTGAATAAAAACCAATCGTATTATTCTGTGCCGAGAGGGCTTACAACATTGAATTGGCAAACTCTTAGTAAAAATTTACTGGATTTATCTACAATCTTACAAACAATTGATGCATAGTATAGGACCCGTGTCTTTGAATTCATGAGGTATATTTCATCAACTTATTATTTTATGAATGGCGACTAAAGTGGAAGGCTATCATTTTGCATTTGTCTATTTGATTTTATCTGAGAAAAGTTGTCACGTGATACACACGGACAATATATAAGAAATTATAGGTTGGAATCAAAACCAAACGTTTTATTTTTTAGCCGAGGGCGCTTTCAACATTAACTTGGCAAACTCTCAAGTGAATACCTGCTATGTTTACAATATTTTATGCAAAGTATAGGACCCGTGTCGTTGTATCTATGAGGTGATCCATCAACTTGCTATGCTCGGATAACGACCGCAGTATGGGTATTTTATATATCTAATTATTTAGTGTAGAATCCATCAGTAGGTTGATAGATGCGTGCAACTTGAAGTGGGACTTCCGTAAAGAAAACCGATTCTCAACTGCATATAGATATCAGCGGATATTTTATCAAAGTAATTAGAGTTATCTCATTATACACACAATCTAACCCTAATATTCTAGAGTCGAGACGGCTTTCAACATTAACTTGAGAAACTCTTAGTGAATTGAATATGTGCTGTATATATTTCAAACGATTTATGCGAAATATATGACCCACGCCTTTGTACATATAAGATGATCCATCAACTAACTATGTTACGAATAGCGACTGGAGTGTAGGCTCCTGTTTTATGCATCTGTTTATTTGATTCTTTCACAGAAAATGTATCTCGTGAAGCACACGGACATTCTAATCGATTCACAAGTTTAAATCGCGACCAAAAGTATTGTGGTAGAGTCGATAGGGCCTTTACAATTAACCTGACAAACTCTTAGTGAAATTTAACGATATATACAAATTACTAGGACCTGTTGGACATGAGAATTCTGGCCGGAACTACCCGTATATACCACTCTCGAATCTGCCAACGGTCACATGGATGCCATCAACAACGTTATCAAGGATATCCGCATCTCCTACGATGAAATGTTCGGCTCTACTGCGAAAGCAATAGCACAACTTACAATGACACGTAGTGATCTATATCACGCAAACAAACAACGCAAATATGTTCAAGCCGATCTCGATAACTACAAACGTTATAATGTGCAGTTAGGCGATGAACATAAAGTGCTTCTAGCTAAACACGAAACACTACAAATCGATCCCAAAAAACTAACAGATCGCCTAAAAAACTGAATTGCGTCTCTACGGGCAGTCCGAGAAATCTACCGACAACTTCTCTGTTCTTCAACTTAAGCTCGATACTACCCGTATTGAACTGCAAGAGGCATTGGACAAGATCACTAACTCAAAGACTCCGGTGTTATCGAGGTAAATTCATCATGCTATGCCAACAAAAAAAAATGGTATTACCGCCACCGACCCAGGTGTTCCCCTCTCTGAGTGCCCCTAGTATAAGGACATATACAACCGCGCTAAACTTGAGAATTGGGAAAACTTCAGTAAATGGATCATGGGTCTCAAAATAGAACTTGCGCACTTCGGCGTACTTCATAGACTACATCCAGATTGTGAGCAGCTCTGTATTGTTGAGACACTCGCTAATGCCTGGTGCAGACGTATAATGATAGATTCCATCAAAGAGGAACTGGTCACTGGATCATGGGTCTCAAAACAGAACTTGCGCATTTCGGCGTACTTCATAGACTACATCCAGGTTGTGAGCAGCTCTGTATTGTTGAGACACTCGCTAATGCCTGGTGCAGACGTATAATGATAGATTCCATCAAAGAGGAACTGGTCACCACTGTTACCAAAATCAATGAAATCGAGGTAAATTCATCATGCTAGCCGAAAAATATGGTATTACCGCCACCGACCAAGGTGTTCCCCAAGTATAAGGACATATACAACCGCACTAAACTTGAGAGTTGGGAAACTTTCAGCAAATGAATCATGGGGCCTCAAAATAGAACTTGTGCACTTCGGCGTACTCCATAGACTACATCCATATTGTGAGCAGCTCTGTATTGTTGATACACTCGCTAATGCCCGGTGCAGACGTACAATGATGGATTCCATCAAAGAGGAAATCGTCACCAGTGTTTACCAAAATAATTACTCTAAAACATCGTCTGAATTATTTAATTACATTTGTGTTACCAACAATACAGGTGGCCACGGCCAATTTTGGAATGCCATGAAGCGCCTCGTCACATTCACAGCCACTGGCTCCACTGAGCAAAGTATACAGCAACTAGAGGAACTACGTCAAGGTCTCCTAGATGTCGGCGAATATATTCCAGACAAATAACCGGTAGCCACTGTCGATTTTGTAATGCCATGAAGCGCCTCTTCACATTCACAGCCACTGGCTCCACTGAACAAAGTATACAGCAACTAAAGGAACTACGTCAAGGTCTCCTAGATGTCGGCGAGTATATTCCAGACAACTAACCGGTAGCCACTGTCGATTATGGAATGCCATGAAGCGCCTCATCACATTCACAGCCACTGGCTCCACTGAACAAAGTATACAGCAACTAAAGGAACTACGTCAAAGTCTCCTAGATGTCGGCGAGTATATTCCAGACAAATAACCGGTAGCCACTGTCGATTTTGGAATGCCATGAAGCGCCTCATCACATTCACAGCCACTGGCTCCACTGAATAATTGAGGTATCAGGCGCGAGCTGCAAACAATGCAAATAAACGCAACAATACGCAGGCGAACGCGCAGGTGGAGGATAACTCTACGAACGCCAACAAACGTCACAAGATAGACAATGGTACGCACAACCAGCACAATCAAGGAGGGTAGACACAGAAAAAGAAGGGAGTACGTGAAGAACGTGCATGTCCTTACTGTCATGAATCGCCAGCCCCACATCGGTACAGTGAATGTCCCGAGAAGAAGGTGATCAAGCTGAGAAGGCTGCACAACAAGCCAAGAAGGAGGTGCAGATAGCAAGACTATCCATTACATCTGGCAAGGTGGAGGACATCATTGAAGGTGATGCACACTGAAAACACTGGTGGGCGGAAGCAAACATGATTGACCTGGCTGACATACTCAATGTATTCACAGACGAAGAAACGCTGTTAATAAATGCATATGATATATATTATCAGCCTTTATCTTTACTTCCCGCACCACGAGACCAACGTTTACACATTGACATACAAATCAATGGCAATACATACAATGCACTAGTAGACTCGGGCGCACAACGCTCATGCATGGACACAAGTGTAGTATCAGAATTATATCTTTCTGTTAGAACGCAACCGGGTTACATACAACTAGCACAAACAGATGCAAGAATACAACGCATTGGAGCAACAGAAGTTTGTGACATTGACTACGGAGGCAGAAAAACCTTTCAATGCTTTGAAGTATTGGACTTGCCTAAAAAGAAAACACCAATACTTCTAGGTATGGACATTCTACCATACATAAGTATATATATAGCGGTATTAATCAACCCACTTATACCAACAGATGCAACGTGTGAATCACTCCTCACACCACATGAAGAGGACTCAGAGCATGAACAAGAAGGTTTCAGAGAGTCACTGACAGACTTCCTGGACACCAACACAAATATACCTCCTGACGTTCATTGCAACCTACCAGGCTCCACAGTCACGGTACCTGCAAATGAAATCAACGTCAGACAAATGAGGCATGCTAAAGTCAACTTTGTTCCACACAAATACATTTCGCAAACGGATGAGAATGTGCAACGATGGCTCCACGATGGCCATATATACAAACGAGACAAACCAACAACGGTGAATCTACCGTTGTTGTCAACAGGTGAACATGACCAAACAGGTCTACTCAAAAAAGTCAGGACCTGTCTAGACTTACGTGAGATCAACTACCAATACGAACAAGACAAGTTTGTGTTACCAAAAATAAAGGAAGTATTACACAACCTACAAGGAGCGCAATTCTTTTCAAATATCGATCTCACAGGTGGATTTCACCACTTCCTAGTAGACGAAGCAAGCCAACACTTCTTCACATTCTCGTGGAGAGGAGCGCAATACTCGATTCAAGACTGTGCCATTTGGACTACACTCACCCACAGCACAATTCCAGAGAGTCATGGCAAATCTGCTCATAAATATCACAGGAGTGCAAGTGTATGTATATGACATAGTCATTGCGAGTCTTACAGAAGAAGAACATCGCAAGGCAGTTCGTGAAGTAATCAGGCGACTAAATAGCACAAACTTCCGACTCGACCACAACAAGTGTGCCTTTGCGGTCAAAGTGGACAACATTCTTGGGGTGAAAGTCACCACACAGGGCCTCAAAGCAGACCCTGAGAAACAGAAAAGAATGATGGACTGGCCACTACCCAGAACAAAAAGAGATCTGCACAAAGCAGTGGGACTAGCAAATTACATGCGAGACAATGTCCCCAACTTTGCCCACACAACGAAACACTTTCGGAACCTAATGAAAGGAAAAATTAACCAGAACATATCCATGTTATGGACACCGGAACTAATCAAGAAGTGGGAAGAACTCAAAGAAGCCATCGCCTGTTCAGCGACGTTAGCATACCCGGTTGATGGGGTACCGTTTCAAATTATGAACGATGCTAGTGACTATGGCATAGGAGGGTGTTTATTTCAAGTCATCGATGGAGTCAGAAGGGACATTCTCTACTTCTCAAAAGGATTGAATCCAGTACAACAACGATATGGCACAAATACCAAAGAGCTACTAGCACTTGTATATAGCCTAGAACATTTTTCGGAATACATCAAAAGGGGGGACATAACACTGTGGACAGATCACAAAGCGCTCACGCAAATGAACAATCGACAGACGTTACACCCAATGATAGCCAAGTGGATAGCAAGAACGTTCCACCACCACTTCTCCATCATACATGTCCCAGGCAAGGACAACCAGATGGCAGATATGTTGTCACGTCTACATGAAGATACTTTTAGTACCAAAGAGTCAAAAGTATTACAACAGGCGAATGAGGCAACACATAATAGCCAAGAGTACACCACCTTGGAAACGAACATGCCCGTAAGCATCTCGGCTATAGACTGGATGTTACATCCCAGATTCTACCAAGAAGCGGAACGAAGATTTGGGAAGTTCACAGTGGATCTGTTTGCATTAGCACACAATGCACACACGGATAAATACTACACCAAAGAGCAGAATGCGCTAAACCAAAAATGGGCGCAAGAAGTTAAAGCATGGGCGAATCCACCATGGGAACTCATACCTGATGTCCTCGAAAAAATCATTGAAGAGGCAACCAGTATCACAATATGTGTACCATATTACACCAATACCTCGTGATTTCCAAAGTTCTTGTCTTTATCAGAAGAAGGCCCGCTGCTAGTGGAAAACACTCACAACACGTTCCTCAAAGAGGGCAAGAAGGCTTGCGGCAAGACCTCATGGGGTGTCATATTAGTCGCAAAGATAGGAGCTAGGTCTCCATACTTCGATTCAACGCGGGAACAACCTGCTATACACGTTGCAGCGTCAGAACCAGTTCACATTGGAGACGCACCACATACAACAGAATATGAGACACATGTCAACATCATTGAGCAATACCACAACTTGGGACATTACACTCCTGAGGAAACGGTACACAAGTTGCAATCTGATGGACATGATTGGGATGATATACAACAACATGTACACAAGTTCATTGATGGATGTATATCATGTCTCAAAAATAAAATACACAAGAAAGGATTTTATACCTTACAATCAATTACAGCCGCATACACAAGCGACAGAGTCCAAGTGGATACCATAGGGCCACTATTGGATGATAATAGAGGACACACATATGTGTTAGTATACCTTGACGTATACTCGTCATACGTCATTCTACGTCCAATGATGGACAAATCCGCGGCTACTATAGCACGCACTCTGGTACCAATCATGTGTGAACATGGATTCCCACAAATCATACAAACGGACCAAGGCACTGAATATGTTAACAGCATACTTTCAAAAGTTGTTGAACAAGCGCCAATGCAACACCTAGTCTCTCGGCCGTATCAACCTAAAGTCTTAGGCGCGAACGAACGATCACATAGAGACCTCATGCCATTGTTACGGAAATTCGTTGAACAGAACCCAGGTAATTGGTGTTCACGACTTCCATTCGTACAAATGGGCCATAATCTGCGTACATCCAGAAGACACAAGTATCCGCGCTTTAATGTGTACTTTGGTCGCAGACAAAATCAACTCACGGACTACAATGAGCTAGTGACCGCACCCGGTACAACAGTATCTTGGAAGGAGCGACTACAATATCTAGAAGAAACCATTAGGCTACAACTAGAGAGCAATGTTGCACAATATCAAGAGAAGATGCGAGCAGCATACGATTGAAAATACCAACAGAAGCATGTAAACTTCTAAGAAGGGGACCTTGTCATGGTCTGCTATCAAGGTGAGATGAACAAGTTAACAGCACCAAATGGCGGACCATACAAAATAGTATGCAGGGAGGGCAACGGGTATTTTGTCTGTAACCTTGATGGGACTAAAGCCCCCGAATATCCTGACTCGATCAGTGATGAGCTACTTGGACTCGTAAAAAGGGCCAATGATCCGGAAGCATTTATCACCAACAATCAAGTACAACCAAACGAAGAGACACAGTTCTCATCGATAGTCGATGACAGGCCGTCCATACGAGGTGATGGATCCCAGGAGTACCTACTGCAATAGACAGATGATGAGCGTACCTGGACGCATGAATCAGACATTGCAGATGCTGATGTCATTAAAACATACCGTCAACGCCGGAGACGTAAACGAAGGCAGTCAAGGCCAAAGAAGCCAACGACAACGAGTACTGATGAAAGATCAGCGAGCCACAGACAGAGCACGAGTCGGGGAACCTAAGCAAGTCTCACTGATACCACAAGACACTCCCACTTTTCTCGCCTAGAAGCATGCTCCCCCCACACACCAGAGGGACAAGGACCAGAGACTCGGCTGAGAACCACCGTTGAGATGCGTTTTCCTAAGCCAAGTTGAGATCAACCGAGAGCACCGGTCAAGACTGACTCCGATGAGCGTGGTAGTGAACTCCTGCTATAGTATAAATTTAATTAATCGGTAATATGTAATAGATAATGGTGGCAGGTTTTTCATCTTATGCCCACTAAGGAACAAGTTTTTCCCTGTATACAAACACCAACCTCTAGATAATCTAGTAATGTAAGATGTCACTTTCTACTCCTACGCAGGCTAAGAAGCATAAAGTTGGGGGGCTGTAGCATCTAGGGACCAGATTATCAAAAAGCCAATCTAAATCCCAAAACCCAGAATAATCAAATACTGAGTTTTGGAATTAGGATTGGAATATTTCTGGTATTAGGGTCATCAGAAATATCAGCGGTAGAATCGGTAAGATATACCGGGACTCCCGCGTGTGAGAGAAACACTCAAGTAAATCCTGAGTCTAATGAAAGCACGAATAAAGACTCAGTTCGGTTCTCTCAGACTAAGGACTTTTCCTAGCTGAGATAACCGTACTTGAGAAGAGGTCTATTGCATCCTATTGTCTCGTACCTTTCAGCTACTCTTCATACTCTACATGATTATACATTGATGCGTGTAACTTGCGCACACGGACAATCTTTAAAAGATTCGAAGTGTGAATAGAAACCGACCAAAATATTCTACAGCTGAGCTGGCTTTTAACACTTACTTGGCAACCTCTTAGTTAACCTCTTAGTTAAAATTTGCTAGATTTATAATCTTTCAAACGGTATATGCAAATTATAGAACCAATGTCGTACCTTTGAGGTGATTTATCAACTCGCTATTGTATGAATTGCGACTGAAGTGTAGGTTTCTGTTTCATGTATTTGTTTATTGATCGTTCAACCTGTAATTTTATTGTAATTTGGTGCATGCAACTTGAAGAAGGACTCCCGTAAAAATAAAAGGTACTCAAATATGTATAATTCCTAACTGATATTTTGCCGGAGTAAAAAGAGTTATCTCGTGACACACGAACAATCTTTAAGAAATTCAAAGTTTGAATCGAAACCGAAATGTAATATTATATAACCGGGACGACTTTTAACCTTTAATTGGCACACTCTTTGTGAAACATACTGCAGATACAATTCTGAATCATCTCAATAAGTGCGAGCAACTTATTATCATGGCATATACTGGTGCTATACAGGCTGATTAGTCCTCTTTAGTTCATGATTATCAAATTATCTTTTCTAAGAGGTGATTCCTCAACTTACCATGATATTGATAGCGACTGAAGTGTAGGGGTATGTTCTATGTATCCCGTCTATCTAGTATTGAGCCCTCTATTTGGTTTTAGTTTGATACGTGTAACTTGTACAGGGACTCTCGTAAAGATACAGGGTACTCAAATGTATATAAATCCCAACTGTTATTTTTTGAGAGAAAATAAGATATCGAGTGACAGACGCGAACCATCTTGAAGAGATTAAATATTCGCATAGGAAACATGACCATCTTTAAGAGATTAAATATTCGTATCGGAAACATGATGAGCAATCTTTTGTTCAGTACACAAATATGTACAATCACCACTGCCAATCTTCGATATTTTGTATTCACCCCTTTAGTTGGTTTTAGTTTGATGCGTGTAACTTGTGGAGGGACTCCCGTAAAGTGATCGAGTACTCACATGCATGTAAATCCCAACTGATATTTTGTGAGAGAAAAAAAAGATGTCGATTGACACACGCAAACCATCTTTAAGAGAATAAATATTCGCATCGGAAACATGATGAGCAATCTTTTGGCAGCACACAAATATGTACAATCACCATTGCCCATCTTCGAGGACCACATGAGTCGTAGTTGTATGATTGGTTACATTCTGAATCATCTCAAGTACGAGCAGCTTAATATCATGACATATACTGGTGCTATACGCGCTGCTTAGTCTTTTTCAGTTCGAAATGATCAAATCATCAGCGTGTGCCTTTAAATCGTCGCGGAAGTAACAATGAGCTCACTCTCGGCAGTATTGCCCGGTAAAATAAGTTAATTGCCTGCTATGTATTGAATATTTATATCCATTCCGCGAATTCGGTTTGTCATTGTTTGCAACTACCCAAACATTTGCATGTTCCTTGTACGTATTCAAGATGTTGATCACAAACAATACTATCAGTCCTAATTCTTTAAACACTACTAGCAGATGCAGAATTAATTCGTATTAGAAGTAACACGGCTGTTTCTATAAAAACACTTTTGCTAATGCTATGATCAATTCAAGTGTGAACTATCAGCAGGGAGATTTTTGCTCTCGCTTTGTAAGAATACGTAGTAGTTATCAGGTTCGATTCGATATCGATAAACTATTCTTATCGATCTACTCCAGTATTCTAGCTTACAGTGCGTCCCTAATTTTAACCCCGGAAACCAGCGGAGCTTTCATGTGCTATAATCGATCCGTGGTGATAACTTGTGAGTAATAACAGTTTGCATGCGTGTCAGCCTGGTATTTAATAGTGATTTCATATCGCGATAAATCTATATATGTTGGTAGGTGATACAACATAAAAAGACGTAAAGCGACTTACAAGGTGTGGTTCTCGATCGGTTAAACCACTGGTAATGAAGCGCGTTACATCAGCCTAATGGATTGGCCGGGAAAGGCAGGTCATTAAAATTGTAAAGAGATAACAGATAAGTGGCAGAGTCGACCTATAAGACTTAAATGTATTAATGTTATTTTAACCTTTTTCTTCGACATCTGCGAGTTGTGATAAAGTTACGTGGAGTAATCAAATCAGTCGAATGTCTAGGTCAGGTACATTAATGTTTCATTATCAATGGTATCGGTGCACGCCAAAACCAACAGCAGGGAGTCTCTTAGGGATTCCAAGTTGCCCTTGTCTCTTCAATTATATACCTACTTGTAGTTGTAACATCACTTTTCTAATATTAGACGTGATAAATAGTTGCTCGATGATCAGCCAGTAAGAAGTTCAATCATCGACTTAGGTTGTGCCAGATTACATCCGTTCCGATTATCTACAACCACAGTGGTAATAAAGTGGCTAAGTGTGGCGTGCAGATGTCACCGTAGGGTTTCCTAACTCGATGATCCGTCGCTGTGGAACTGCTTTCTCAATCAAATAAGATCATATATAAAATATCAAATTAGCGTATAGTTGTTATGCCAGTGAAGTCTGCTTGAACTGATCGCCATGTTCAGAAGCCAGATCATATATTCCAATTTTAACTTACGTTGCAAACCAACCGAATAGATATAAATAATTTTACAGTGCTATAGATAATGTAATGTCAGACTAAAAACATACGGCGTTGGTCTAGTGGTACGATTCTACCTTCGGGTGGTAGAGGTCCCAGGTTCGATTCCTGGACGCCGCCAATTAAATTTTAGTATTGTCGACAAAATTGGGAAACAATGGTTTTTATGAGCTCGCCTTACACGCTCGTAAGCTATTCACATACTCTCTGGCAGCGCTGGTGCGTTAAATGGTCCATTGCTTGTGCTATCCGGTACTCGAGAAGTCGTGTAATTCCCGTCCGGCGGTCTGTTTTAGTGTTTTTTTCGACAACTTGTTTGTGATTGATTTCTTGGTTGGCAGAGGCGGCCCCGTCAGAAAAAAATGGAGCACATAATATTATCATGGCATACCAATCATTTGAGATGTAATACACGTCAATTTGCTGTAATGCGCAGTTAAAAAGGTTAACGACTTTTTCGACGAGAAACAAAAAAGGAATTTACGGGATACAGTATTTATATGCAATTGTCGTCAAGGATTGTGAATTGCAGATGAAATTCATGAGATTTTAGAGATTCGCCCCGATTTTTGAACGGATCCTTTTTTTATTACACTCCTTCCTGGCACCTTCGCATTCGTATTCGTTCCAAAGCAGAGTTATTTCAGAACTTCCAATATCAACGCATAAATTTAATACAAGACTCTTGAATTACATTGAATGTATCCAGTTTTGCGATTTGAAATAGGCACGAGGTATGCGACGTCTTAACACACTAGAAGGGCAACACGTTCGCCGAACATTTATATGCTTTTGACTACGCCTCGTCGTCTTATTCGTAACACTCATTTACATACAGCTACGGAAAGTACTCATATGCGTCCATCGAAACGTTTACACATGAATATGCATCTGCAGTAAATCTCATTCTACACCTGTGTAACTCTTAAGGTTTGAATATCAATATTAAATTGAAAATAACGTTTTTAGTGCAAAATGTGTATAAGAGAAGAAAATTGTTGCACTCGTATCTATAGATAGAAATCCGAGGCAGACGCACGCAACCTCCCAACACGCGCGATCGTGGGACGCCATAGTCAAACTCAGCTATCGTCCTATGTAGAAGAAAAAACCAGACTTTGTTTGTTCGTAATCACGAGTTCTTCATGATCATTCTTTTGGCATAGGTGATAGTTCAAGCTTTCGCATTTGCGATTATACACTATCGAAGTATAGAGTTTGTTATGGCCATGTATGGGCATCTATACACTTCTGGAGGACATACTTAGGGCAATACACAGTGGATGATATACACATCGAAGCAATCCATTTATTTTTCAATGCAGCACATTCCATAGTGTATATGAGAAGTCACACACGTAATTACGCAATAACAAAAAATTGAGTTGGTCGTGCTTAATAAATCAGGCAACGACAAATTTCTGGCAACAGGACCTAAGTACGAGACACAGCGAGAAATATACACTATGGGGCAGGTTCGAATAAGTTCAATCTTTTGCGAACATCAAGGGCTATAATAAAGCAAGGGCCAAAACAAGAGGATATGGTATGCTAGCGGTTCCTAGCAATCAAAGGAACGACAAATTCGTACGACTTATAGACAGGAGCGAAGAAATTGAAATTGAATATACTAATTTTAATGTAATTGGAAATTGGTAGACGAGCTGAGCATATTCTTTTGCAGTTTGTTTAGATTCGGATCTCCGGGAATGAAGGAGCCGTCTGATCGTTTCCATGAGGGTACTGTTCTAATACCGAGCTGCAGTATCAGAAACGTCTACAGGTTAGATTGCTGATGCTTGGTCGGTCGTGATCTCGATACGTTAGACATACATGTACGAGGTGCAGTGTCTATTGATTTTCAAGCGGGCTCTAATCTTTATAAGTTGACAACACAGTTTCCTCAGTGAGTATAAATATTGACATGATTATTGACACGCCAAAAACCAACAGACCTTCAATTGATAGGAAAATGGTACAGGTGCGGTCACCAACGCATATTTTTGACAGACCAGACTATGAAGCCTTCAAGGCCATAGCTGCGCTCGCATCCCAAATATATCATCACTGAACTCACATATCTATACACATGACGCTGCCGCACATGCAAGTACACACACACACAAAAAGCTGCTTACACAAGCGAAGTGTGAGCAGTCCACATGTGGCGAAGGGTCCTGAGTATCACCCAACACATCTTTCCGTCTATTACACAGACCACAAAAATCGGTCATAAACAATACCACCTTAGTAAATACATGTGTACACGTACACAATTACACACACGATATAACACGCACACATTTACACACACGATACAAAAACGAACACATTTACGCACACAATATAACACACACACAATTACAGACACAAAACAAAAACGCACACAACTACACGTACGACACGAAAGCACACACACGTTCAGCGCACCTTTTCGTCACTTGCACGGACCATATCAATTGGTTCGTGTACAACGCTGCATCGTATAAAATAGATGGTTTGCCCGCAGGTCTTGCTAGTTTTATCTCCGCGAGTGTAAAAATAAAAACTGCACATCTTACATAGAAAAACACACATATTCAGCGCGCCTTTTTGTCACTTGCACGGACTACATCAATTGGTTCGTGTACAACGCTGCATCGTATAAAATATGTGGTTTGCTCGCAGGTCCTGCTAGTGTTATCTCCGCGAGTGTACACATACAACTGCACATCTTACATAGAAACACACACATATTCAGCGCACCTTTCTGTCTCTTGCACCGGCCATACCAATCAGTCAGAGGCAACACTGCGATTGGTAAAAACGCATACACACGTACATTGCACATACGATATGAATGTATACACACCCCCAGACACTCGGAGCTAAAACCACGCCAAACTTCGAGGCGTGAGTAATCCAAGAGAAGATCCTGAGTATAGCCAAACAAACCTTACTAACTCTTACGGGGATCGCGTCGTATGCAACAGTACACCAAGTAAATACGCATACACATGCCATTGTATATCAGATAGAATGTGTACACACACCACAAGGTACTCATACGATATAAGAGCGAACACACACCACAAGGTACTCATACGATATACGAGCGAACACACCTTCAGACACTCAGGTTTGAAGCCACGTCGACCGTCCATGCGCGAGCAGTCCACCTGCGGCAGCAGGTCCTGAGCATCGCCAAACGCATCTTTTTGTCTTTTACACGGGCCACACCAATCGGTTGTATATAATACTGCACCCTCTTCCCTTAGCTTGAGTGCTAGTTGTACCATGGGATCATCTGGATCGTACTTGGACATATCACTGGGTAATTGAGATACAGGCAAACCCTTCTTCTTGGGCTCACTAGGTGATGATTGCTGGGTTGATTGCAAGACGTAGGCCCCCACGCATGTTCCTACTACACCGATGGCTGCAAAAGCAGCAATTCGTCTACTCATACTTAACGAGAAGAAATAGTAAATTGTATTCAAGCTGTAGCCAGCGATTGTATGAAGGGTCTACACTCTGCAGTCTATACACAAGTAATATGGGGCATAGAATTAGGTAACTTTCGGGGTCTATTGGGCCTTTGCTGTCTATCGGTTCTGCCGGCGTATATTCATACATACGTTGTTATATATATTTTATATATCATGATGTACATTTACACAAATATTTGTCATGATGTCAAAATATGTTCGTGCACACGGATAGGTAAAAATATTTACAAAATGGATATAGATTTGGTTTTATATAGATATGATTTCAATGTGTATGTGATCACTATAATATCTCTCCACGAACGCAGAGACCAAACCCAGTCACCGACAAGTGGGTTCGGTCACAGTACCCAGAGATGTATTAGTAGCACATAGATGTATTGTTAATATATTGATATGGCAGCTCACGCACCTATACCTAGTCGTTAGAACATTATTACCTCCAGGTGACGTCCAAATAGATCACTGACTTCACATTATCGCATCTATATGTAGAGGTTGAACATACTACCGAGAAATTTGAGTATCAGGGGTACAGCATTATAATATTGCTGCCTTCTTCAACATAATCACTTTGCGATGCTTTATTTTGTCGAATCTACTCTACTTTACAAAGGTAGCTGCTGATGCTACTTCATATACTCAAGCACAGCACCAATTTAGACTGATAGACTATTAACAGGGGTATTTGCTTGCCGTGCAAAGCTTCTGATGCAAGGATGAATACAGTAGTATACGGGCGCTTACTGTGCAACAGATATATACACATATGCAGTCACACATACTCACGCACACGAAGGCGAACGGAAGCATGTTATAGTGCATTTAATGCGTGTGTTACAGCCACTCAGACTCAATCTGCTGGCTCTATCTTGTGGACACCAGATAGTACGCTGACTGGAGGTTCTCCACAAGATATGTTCAACAGATGTTCGCGCATTCATGATCAAGGGTTGCCGTTTGCAGAGATAGGCAGAAGATTATACAGTAGTAAACTAGACCATAGTAGCGCTAGTAACCATCAATCACCACACAAGTCCGACCTGACAACCGAGAAATTGCTTACCCGCCGAGATATAGACTATAAATTACGCACCTGGGAAGGGGTATCAGAGTCTGTGTCTTATAAACGAGCGCACGACCGCGATAAGGAATACATCAGATCTCAAGAGCCGTCTGGGGCCGGAGGGGTGCAGGGAGATGACTTGTCGAACCACTTTCCACACTCCACTAAGCGCAAAACAAACACATCGAAGCGCAAAGTAAACACACAGGGTACTAATTGGGTGATTGTGGGTGGTAAAGTCGTACGCAGGAACGAAAGGCCTCCCGAGAAAGACCAGTGGAAGAATGCGATCCACTTGATAAAGAGAGGGCTGAAACAGAACAATGGTGCCGTTACAGATGTTCATTGTGCCTTTGTGATGGATCTCTGCAAGAAGGAGAAGCGCTTTGTGGAGTGTTGGGAGGTATTTCAAGCGGCGATGCAACACCGACTGCCTGTGAACGAACGCATGTGTGTACTAGCAACCAAAAGGTAAGTTGAAGTGAGCTGTTTTGGTGATCGAGTACGTGAACCATAGCAGCTTTTCTTGCACTTGAATATGGCTGAAACTCCATCTGCATGTGTCAATTATTTGTAGCTAAGTACTCTGTGCATGTAATATAAATAGTGACGCATAGTCGCCGCGAGTCGATCCAACTATTGGTCAAGAAATAGGGTTGTACTGCATGTAGGAGTGCATTCTGACATTATGTAGTGAGAAATATCTATACACGTATGTGAATATGCGTCATTTTTCGGTTAGCCCTTATAGTGGGTCTGCGAGTCATCTTACATTCGTACATTCAGGGAACAGTAAAAATTGACAGCAAACCAACTATTACAAGGTGGCGTTGACGATGTTGTCGATAGACTCGTGCTTTGCTGTATTTCGCCTCTTACTAAAAAGTCTATTTCTGCTGTATAAATACAGCTTAAAATACACCAGTCAAGTCGAATGCATAGCGGAAGTGGTGCATGCAATGTCTGGGTATCCACTTTATGACCGTAAAAGGCCATTACAAGTCCTGCACAGCCCTTTGGAGCCAGATGAAATGATCTGTGTGCTAGGTAGGTGTGGTCGCGTAGATGACGCGCTGAAGGTGTGGAGTGCATACTGTGGGAATGCCTCAGCAGTAGACCTCACGGCTCGATCCCGTGTGTTTGTGATGGTTCATGCCGCAGGTAGCGTGAGCGGGGTAGAGGTAAAGGAGAGTGTGGTTTCGAGTGGCGCCGTATGTAGTACTCAAATCCGCGGTGCAAAGATCACAGGAGGTAAAAGTACGGGTAAGGGCAAAGTTACATTCGCGTCAATGGGTAACGCGCTGTTAGCTGGAATGGTGCCTGATCGCCCGCATGAGGCCCTCAGATTTTACAAAAATGAACTTGCCTCTAATCCGGCGTATACGCACGACCTGAGCACAGTGAACGCATTGCTTTCAGCATACGCACATGTGGGAGATTTCGAATCCGGTGCGCATTTATTTCGTATGCTGGAACATACATTTGTGCCGGCCAATCCGGCTGCCCGATCTTCACCTATACACAGATCTTCTCTCTTTCATGGACACAATGGGCGGATAAGAAGATCATTGGAAGCGGATACACTCAATGGCCTACATACAGAACAACCCATAGTCGTTGACCCCAAGCAGACCATGGGGAACATACACATACCAGATCACCCATATCCAACAGCGCAATCAACACAAACTCTACGCTTAGCTCCTAAGCGGGACACTTATCACAAGATGCTTCGACTTTGTTGCGCGACGGGGCACTATGACGCTATGGCTGATGTGGTCTTAGGTATGTGGCACAGCAAACCACAGTCTGATCTCCGACCGAATTCCGAAACAATCGCGGTGGGCGTGGATGCGCTCACTCGCTCAGGCGAATGGAAGCGAGCCCTGGTGTTCTTTGAAACACTTTCAGCATCTTCGACGCTAGAGCAGAGCACGCGTAGCTACAACACGTTGATGCATGCATACGGATCAGGAGGAGTTCTGAAGAAATTACCGCAAGTCTTGCAGAAAATGAGGGAGCACGGTGTTAAACGGGACGTTGTCACATACAACACAGCAATCTCTGCGTATGCCCGAGCCGGATGCTTTGACGAGGCTGTCCAGATGTTTTGTGCTGGCCAGCGTGATGGCACATCCATGGGTGCTATCTCATACACTGGCGTAATAGATGCGGCGAACAGCAGTGGTCGGTACACTGAGGCATTGCGATGGTTCGATGAGATGCGCGGAAGGAAACTTAAACTCAACGCAACCGCATACACATCAGCCCTGACTGCATGCGTGGGCGGGGGCCGGCAAGCGCGAGCGGTGGATGTATTCGGAGAGATGCGCGCTAATGATGTACGACCTAGCGAGGATGGATACGTTGCGATCTTCAATGCTTTCACACAACTGGATATGTGGCAGGAGGTGATACGGATTATCGATCGATTTCAAGTGACTGAGAAAGTCAATTGGGGCTCCGTTAGAACTCTTTCAACAAATAATGGCGACCTCAAGGCTAGTATATCGGGGACAAAGTTAGCTGAATACGGGTATATTCGAGAACCTAATGCTAAATCGCACAGATTGACGGGTTATGTGGGTACTACCGCGGAGGAACTGGCACCAGGTATAAAAGTGTACAATGCGGCGCTGACTGCGCTTTATGAAATGGGCCAGTGGCGGCACGCGTTGAGAATATTCTATACTCTCACACAATCGAATACGGATACGCAACAACTACGAGAGAGTGAATTCACGACAGAAATCGTCCGAGGCGGCACGAGGAAGTCTTTTATGGGGTCTCCCAAACCGGATATTGCAACTTACAATATATCGCTGCTACTGCTGAGCATGGGTGGTCGCCCACACGAAGCCATGCGAGTGTTCAAAAGCTTGAGTGAGTGCGAGTATTTTTTCAATTATACGCCAGATGTGCAAGCGGGGTTATCCGCTGATAGAAGGGTGGATACTGGTCCACGCATTTCTCGTGCCTCGCATGTAGATACCCAGAATACACGCCTGCCACAGAGGGATGGGATTACATACCACAACATTATACAAGTGTTATCCGAGCACGGACATTTAGACTCTCTCAGGCTAATCATGAACGATTATCACAAGTTTCAATCTGCTAATAACACTGGAGGTGATGTACGCGGCTTGACTGGCGAGCAGCACTCCAATGTATATGGCCATTCCACAGGATCGGAGTCAGCAGAAATCTCGCATCATAGTTTACACAATAACGGGCATACACGGGCGGATACCAGTCCGAATTCAGAAACTGACGTCTCATTCGAATCAGCTATGTCGAAAATCAACGCCATGATGGGCGAGCACGGGAAACCAATTGCAGGCACGCCGCAGGCGGGCTCTAAATCACGCACGCCCGAGAGTCGACGAGTGGGAGTGGTATCTCAACGATCTTTTTCGAACTTGATCGATAGATCAAGTGTCTCCTTTTGCTTATACGATGGGAGGGAACTCGATCGATTACCAAAGCGGAGCGCAAGTACAAAACCCCTGATCAAGCATTGCGGGCGATCTTTCCATACAAGTCGAGGGAGACCGCCATGGTCAAATCAGTTCGCAATATCGCCGCCGAGACCTATCATATTCGATGGCCAACTTCGCTGCAAAATGGGGTTCGCATCATGTCGCAGTTTCAGTGCTTTTACTGTCCAACAGGCAGTATATAGTCGACCCAATACTTGGCAGACATACTTTCATGTCGCAAAAAATAGTCACCTTCACAGTGCTACCGTGAATTTCAGCCCATTCCGCTTCATCACATATCGGGGCAATTATACGGATGCAAAAAACCTAGATTCTTTACCACCCGCTGTGAAAGTAATACATACATACAGTCCGTCTTCGACTACGATTCGTAAGTCCGCAGCAAAACGTAAAGCGTATCCAGTCGTTGCTGCTAAGCAATCAAGTCCGGACACCACCAACTACAACGCAACAGAAGTGTCATCGATTATTTCTAAAACGCGGGACACACATGTATCATTCCTACCTGAAAGCAGCACAACGGGTACTGCTAACAATCTGGCTCAAAGAATTGTCCTATCGGATTCTGCGAGGTATAGGCACTCGCGTTTAAATCCAGTTCCGCCACCGACAAGCGAAGTGCAACAGAGTCCATCACACGAGCCAATCGGGTCCAATACGAAGCGAACGAGTCATCTTCCATTGCATCAGCAGCCCATTAACATATCTTCCTTGGAAGATCTAGACACCGCGCTCTCCCGGGCACTCGCTAATTATAAATACAGCTGGCAGGAAGGCGTGAGGCGTGCGGTACAGGTCAATGACAGTGCTGTATCGCTGGGGAAGCCGTCTGCGAAGCTACGGCGCGCCCAAAAGTATCTGAGCAGTGCGAATAAAAATGCAGTTTCCGTGGGAACAAGCCACTATGACCAGCTCCTGAGCATATGTATGCATGAGAGGCACATTCCAACTGCCTTGACGGTGTTGAATGAAATGCAGGCAATCGCAAACGATAACAACAACGTGGAAGGCAGTGGTCAAAGATTATTGTCACCCACCGCATATCAAGTAAAGATGCATATTTGCGATCGGAAAGGCAACAGTAAGGAGGCCGTTCAGACGCTCCGAGAGTACTTAAGTGCGTACGGCACGCACAAAGCCGTATCATCTACCACTGACTACGATGGGGGAAGTGCGATTCTCCTTGAACGGACTGGGCAGGAGTTCTGCGGACTGGCTAATACATTGGTGGCAAGCACCGATTTTATGTCCCAGTACGCGTTAAAAACATGCGCGAGGACGGGTGATTGGAACAAAATAGAACAGGTTTTGGTGCTGGCTAAGGGTGCGATGTCAGGCAGGCCACCATACAGTGCAGTTGATCGCTTTGGCGTACAAACGCAAGCAACCGGAAGGATGTCTATACAGTCTAGAGGGGCGTCGCAATCTGAGGGAAGGGCGCGGACGTGCGCGACTACGAGCCAAGATGTGCCTGCTCTTGACTTTGATGCGTTGTGTCAATTGGGATTGCGAGAGATACTTGCGCAGGCGGCCCCTAAGAGTGGGCGACTCAAGGGCAAAACAAACGTGGTCACGCCAGTTCAACAACGCTTGATGAGTATGCTTGACTACTTGTACGAGCACAAAATGTGTGTTTTCAGAGTAGAGCTAAACATCAACAGCATCAATGTACAGGTCGTGGACGCTATGAGTAAGGACGATACCACTAAAGTTGCGAGTACCATAGTTGTGGAGGGTGCTCGGGCTGCTGCTCCTGCGACCACGAAGCTCTCAGGTTCTGAGCGCAAGCATAGCGGAAGCATACAGGGTAGGAGGCAAGTGCCCACAGCGAATGGAGTCGAATCTCTGTCGAACGCGAAACCGGTCGCTCTGTGGCCGACAATTGCACAATCAAACGAGCAAAGTAGACGCTTGTTAATGTGCATATCACACATTCGACCAACGGATCGATCACCTGCCACCCAGCTCGCCTTCATACACGTGTGCGCATCGCTTGGTTCTCGCCTCGAAGGCATTGACGCTTTGAAGGTATATTTACAGAGATTCAGATCTCGGACTGATAAATTGTGTGCCCGCGAGCGCCTGGAGGATCAACAGGCGTTCTCTAAAATGATGAGGGTTTGTGCACAGCAAGGAAATGGGGCGCATGCTAGGGATATTCTAAGTATGTGCGACAGATACTTACGAATCCACGCCGTGTCGCGTCTTTGGGAAACGAGCCGAGGAGATAGATCGAGTGGTGATTCATGTGCGAATGACACAGATAGACACATAGGCGTGCTTAAGAACCAGGTATGCCGGGGGAAAACAGACGAAGACAGTGTAAGCACGAATATTTCCATTGTGTCATCGGTAAGTGCGAATCCAGATGAGCATACTCGCGTACGTACAGAAGGGACGAATATGTATTCACAAAGGCTGGCCTATCATTTCAGTAGACATGACTTGATGTATCAGGGTGTGGTGGATGGCATGCGAACCTACAAATACCTAAAGAAACGGACGTGGCGTAACCTATCGTTCAGTGCCACCTTACTCACCACTCTACTCTCGGAGTCGCATGATACTACCCTGGGAGACACGGCAGAACAACTGATTGAGAGTGTCGTGCTGGAATCGTTACGTGTGGGCGCTTTCAATGACGTGGCAGGTATTTGTAAGAGTATGAATCAAAGCAATTTATCGACGCGCATCGTATGCATGTGGCTAGAGATATTCATAAAGGGCACAGCTTCATATAAGGAAGTCTCGGATATCAAGCATCATACAGCCTCAAATACTCATAGTCAGACGATGAAAAGTGCCACACTCAGGCCGAAGGAGTCCATATTGGCGGATCTGCGACACATATTGGACATAGGGATGCAACAGCGATGTCTAACGTCGGGTAATAGCAATGATGTCAGCCATCAAGCTAAGCTATTTGACACTATGATCAACAGTTGTGCGGCGATTGGAGACTATAAACTCGCCGAAAGCGCATTCCTGTTGCAGGTTCGCTACGGTATAAAACCTGGGGGAAAAACCAGTCAGATGGTACATAAGTTCATCACTAGCAAATCCCAGAAGGCGGACAGCCAGTCACAGCTGGGCACCATGTTCAGATGTGTCAAGCTGTTGACCGACGACTCTGTAGCCATAGTGGACATAGGGACTGCTAATAGCCATTTGCTGAAAATGGTCCGGAATAGACAAATACAGATGTCCAGATATCTAATCGAGAGAATTCTACCCGTACTCAACATCAGTCCAGACAGGAGTACATATGATATGTACTTTCGCGCTTTAGAGAAGGGCAGTAAGTGGCAGACAATCGTAGAGTTGTATCCGAAGTTTCAGGAGATGATTATGAAAAATTTCCGCACTAACGGAGGGAGAGCAGCGGACACATCCTATCATACAGACGGAGTTCATCATTCTGACGGGGCGTACATGAACGCCCTTAAAGCCCAGGTAAAGCTTGGAAAATCTGTAGATGTTTTAGACATTGTCAATGATGTGTATAGAGCCAAGGTAATGCCTACTGCTCAACTGTTGTATGTTGCCGCCGCAAACTGTGCTCAGAGGAGGGGTGCTTGTGCGGCATTGTCACTGTGTGAACGCATGCAAGACGCGCACTTCGAAGTGGTCGAGCCGGTGTGGAAAAAAGTGATGGCTGCTCTATCTGATGCCGGACTGTCTGATGAAGTATCGGTGATGATTAGGGTGGGTAGTCTCGAGGTTTATCGCCAGCAGGGTGTACCTTTGAAGAAGTCGGCTAAACGTTATGCTCAGGTATATCGAAAAGGGCGGGAGGAGTATGAGGATCTCACTATTGAAATGGGACTCCCGAAGGATGTGCTGTGATCGTAGTAGTCATTAGCATCGTGGTGCATCCACTTGCTGGCAACATACGTAGACTGATGTTCCCGTAAAATACCGAAGAGAACAGAGCTGGTTGGTACTTGGTGGACCAATTCTCACCAACGGTGGTGCCGCAGATTTACGGAAATCAGCTGGTATTTAGATAAATAAGCAAACCATGCGAATCTAATCCTCAAATATTCAAGACAATTTAGATAAATTGATAAAAGTACTTCAGAAATTGCGATTTAGGTCAAATCACCAAACAATTAGGGCACCTAGTTCCCATCTAATCCTATGGATATGTCCTATGGGTAAGGATAGTCTGGTCGGATTTCGGTGCAAACCCTCTGCTTAGTTTCAAGCGAAATTGATTATGAATGATGTGAATTGCATCGTGACAATATCATCGGACACATCAAGCAGCTTGTTATATATTTTCAAAAATTCTTTGCAAATAGTCTCAAACTGAATAGTATTTCAAGCGATTTTTCAGAAGACTGAACGTCGAGCGGCGGGGGTACGTAATTGATAGCTCAAAATAGATGGCTCACATTGAAACTGACTGACTACCGCCAATACCAATCAATCGAATTTGCAAGGGACCCTTGTGTGACTATGGTAATTATATTATTTAGACTATTCCTTCGAGGCACTTAATGGCGTGACATCCAAGTGGCCATAACCCTTAGCTGACAAGGTTGATGACAACCCTGTCCTAGCACTGTGAGGAGAAATGAGGTTTGTTCAACTGAGCAGAAATAAAATCATCCCGAATGTGGAGATGCAATTAAAAGCAGCAAAAATCAGGACTTGAAACGATTCCAGTACCCATATGACAAAAGATAATCACAATTTTCATTATACACGAGTGGCATGATTCGGGTCCTGTTCGATAGCCAGCCAGCCGAAAGCGACAAAAAAAAGGGGGTGAAGAATGAACATACCTTCTATTCTTTTTCAGGTGCATTTGCGAGTCGCTGGAACTGCTCCGGAATAATGAGTTCACCACACCCTCCACGGCCCCTCCCACTATACTGGCGCGCTGACCCATGCGACTACTGACCGACGAGCTCCTGTTGAAAATGCACAGAGCACAGGGGTGGAGCAATAATATATTGTAAGAACGTCGATAAAGAGCTGCGAACGTCTGGGACAATATGTCTGTATTAGAGTTGACAAACAAATAGCAGCTCATGCAGACAACGTATCACGCGACTCAGCGCTATACTGCCCAGGTTTGGAGCCGAATTCTCCTCGTGTATTCTCGAATACGTAGGTGCCACAGAACATGAGGATAAAATCGCATAAAACAACACGTCCATACACACATGGGGGAAGGAAGGTCCATTGAGGCACATTTGCAAAATCAATGACGCGAACATCGATCCAGGGGTTCCGCACTCAGTGTTCCACTTAAACCACATGGGGTTCATTTGGTAGAATATCGCTAATCTACGATATATTTATACCCCCGAATATTGACCTCGCGTAGTGAAACTATTCGTTTCTCATAGCTGTCGCAAAGAAGCATGTGATAACTTGGGAACTGTCCTAGGGGCGTTTAGGCAATGCTATATTGACATACTTCGCGCGTTGCAGGGCAGTCCCTCGCGCCGAATTATTCCACTTATTTTCAAACGCTAAAGTTTCCTCACAATTCCACGCCTCGACAAGCCTGCAAAATATAAAAGCGAGATATAAACAACTCGCGAAAATACGACAAATCTCCATCTAGGCTTGGAACAAATTTGAGAAACACGACCAGAAGATAATTTAAACAATGGCACTTACGGCGGCATATTCGCTAAATCGTAGCCATTCTTTATCAATTCATTGCCATGAACATATCGAGTAAGTCTGCAGTTGACCCTGGAGATACAATGTAACCATTGGTTATAATGGCACACGTCGATACGATGAGAAAAGATAGGGTTATTCTCAAGAGGCTGTCGTTAACGACATCGTAAATATTTAATCATATCGCAAAGAGAGTGTATGAACTCGTACCTAGAACACCATCAGTAAAATCGTAGCAAGAAATGCATACAAACTCTTACTTGAAATAATTTAAGAAATCAGTAGCAGCCTTGCGTCCATTGAATATAAATGTCATATGGTAGCCGGGGTCGATCAAGTCTATTAAAAGCATTTGATTACACAGCGGTGATAGTGACTGAATTCAATACAAAACACAGATCAAGGTTAGCGCATAAGTCAGTCTTGACGTCATCGTGCTAAAGTAGCACACGGACCTGTAGATGCTATGACTATTTTCTTTTGGACAGTGATGTGCAAATATTTTCGTACTTCTAGGAAATACAAAACGGTTGTGTTTTGATTTGCCTGTGCAAGACGTCAGCTGCCATTAGATACAACTATTCAAAAAGGTATAATATACATGCGCAGCGAAACTGTATAAATCAACTAGTCATCGTTTCTCTGTGATGAGATAAGCGACCTCCAAAGAACCTTCATCAACTCCGAACTTTGGAAGTTATTATCAGACAGTGTTTTTTTTGTCGATTTTTTTTTGCACGGGGAGATCACGCCAAAAGACGGCGATGAATACGGAGTGAGTAAACTACGAAGTTGTCAACAAATAAGGTAATCTGACATGATCCCCATACCGAAGCCTGTACATTTATGGGCAGTATTTTCAACTGCGAACGATGAAGCGAGAAATGTTTCCGATATTTAACCCTGGAAAAAGGAAAGGAAGTTTGAAGGGGTTAATGACTCATCAGATAGATCCCAACTGGTAAAGTAGGCTCGGACAGCGACTTCTAAAAACTGTTATCCATAAATATCTCCTATGTAGTATCAAAACCCCACCGTGGGAAATTCTGCAAACCGAAATTTCTACACATTGCAAACATACATACAAGCTAACGAACTCCATCCGAAGGCAAAGTTAAAACTTACGAGGAGCCACTTTTGCTGAGCGTTGTCACGACTATGAGATCGTTGAAATAAAATATTTGTCGTTTGTCTTTACCGTATGTTTTGCGGAAGCCACTGGCTTTACTTATCTCCTGAACTTCGACCTTTGGTGAATAGAAAATTGAACGTTGGATTTAGTTGTCTGCGAATCTATGGTTTTTTTCTTAACAATGGCAAAGACACCAATACAGATTGAACTAGCAATATTCAACATATATCTTCACCTAGGGTGCATACACAGACACACCCACCCACCCACACACACATATATACATATATATATATATATATATATATACATATATATATAATACACATATATATATATATAATATAGAATATAGAATATATATATATACATACATACATACATACATACATACATATATATATATATATATATACATATATATATATATATTGTATATATATATAAACAGTTACATACATATACATTAGTATATATATATATACAGAAGTATATATATATATTATATATATAAATATAAATATATATGTATATATAGAATCAAACACACATGTGTGTCAGAACTAAACCTCAATTGCGAAGATACGTGCATAAATAGGAACTACCGACCAAATATCATATCGCAAAAGTATGGAACAACGTTTAGCCGAAAATTCCACTACACGTTATGTTGGTGTATCTCCTAAAGTCCAAGCTTTATAGTAAATAATATTTGATCAGCTCAAGCGCCGGATCAGATCAAACCGCAAGACTCCACATAGATCTCACACATACCTCTCCCTTCAGTATTCGATAGGCCTCGACAAGAGAAAAGTTCGGCGGCATGCTGGTCACGCAATTCGAGATGCCTATTAGGCACGCCAAATTTGAATCTTGCACTTCGATCTCCTGCTGTCGAATGTTTTGGAAGATACTGCGCAAGAACTCATCTGGCAAATCAGCACCATGATCTGTGTATATGGGCACACGGGGGCATTTACAAAGGCCGATGATGTCTTAGGCTAAATAGATGCAGAGAACTAAGATGACAAAACGCGAATACAACATCACATTTACATGCTTTTCCCATCCCCCCCCCAAAAGTGTTAGAATAGCAGATATACGATTACAGATGTCTGACACAGGCCTGATAGAAATTCAGTGAACGCAAAAACACAACGGAATCACTCGAACTGAACTTGCATTCTGTTTTGGACATTTAAACAAACCAATGCATCTACCTAGTCCTCGATTGTTTTTGATGAAATCAGCCACACTCATGCGGTGGAGAACATTTGCATTGTGCTGGTCTGTATTCAACATAATCGTACTGAATGCCAGGACATATGCCGTATCTTCCGATTGAAATACTCCAGGATTTTGCCTGCAAGTAAATAAATACCCCCAAGTATCCTGTTAGTCATGGCCATCGCCTCTAACGCTACTATACCTTGCGAACGCACGAAACGATGAGGCTGGTTCAAGCCCATGCACTTTGACGGTTTCATGCAGAACTCACTTCGCGGGCAGCGTTATAAGTTGTTTCTACCGACGTGCCTGTAAACTGTTGGGCCTTACATATAAATTTTCAACATAGCAAATCGGCTTGGAGTACGTAACTTGCATGCGGACGAACTTTATACCACCCAAATACACTGCAAGGAGAGGTATTTGAATACAGTCGTGGGAAGCACACCTATCTTTCATTCTTCTCAGGTCTAAAAGACAACACCGCCAGACTCTCATCGTTACCTAACGGACACACGGTTCGCGATACAAGCCTTCTCTATTAGGGAAACCTCGTATATCCCGTGACATTCCTCCGCTCCACATTTTATTCGGTAGCAAAACAGACAGCAAACGGTGGACACGGAGACAGAATACATCGAAGACACGAAACTAACCTATGATACTTCTTAGCCCACATTTCCATTATCCGGTCGATCTTCTGTGCCTCGCCTAATGCATGGTAAATGGGAAAGCATAACTGAGTTGTTGAAGATTTGACCTGGAGTATAAGTTGGCAGTATTCAATTCCTGCGGTTGCTGATATGATGTACACTGGCAACGCGAGTGCTTCGAACCCACATCGTACAATCTTATGAACACGCCGCACATACCTGGAAGCCGAAATATATCTAGGAACTGTCTGAGTGAGTCAACAAAGGCCTTGCCTTGGTAATCCTGAGTGTCTATCAGCGCCTGTAAAACTTTCATACACCCCGGATTGGTGTCACCCAATAACTCTCCCACCTGAGAGACAGTGAAAGAATATGAGTCTCAGATGCAGTAAAGGATGCATGTGCACCTGGCCAGACATCTTTAGAACGGCCGTAAACCACTAAAAAGGCCACCGATGTACATACAAACGATCGAGTCTACATGTATAACAAAAACTTGACCCATAGGTAGAGTTGCAGGTCGATAGTGCGAGTCGTTTCACTCGTAAATGGCCTCAAAATGTAGGACATACCGCTGTTTTGCTGAGTAACGGTTCGGCTATAAATAGCGTCGCGACGGATGTGGCATCATTCAGACACAATCCGTGGTCAAACAGGAAACTTAGACCTTTCAAGGGTTTGATATTGAACAGGCGTAATCCTATTTTCAGCAACAAATCGACGCACAGATCAAGTCTTGAAATATCATAGGACTCGTTGTCATCGAAGACGAAGCAACCATCGGAACTGTCAATGGCAGACTCTGAGGTTGGGGTATCCAATTCGCCTGCGAGAGTATAAGTGAGCGTTTCAGTACTTTGGTGCCAAAAACAATTGAATATCTGATCGTAGGCTACGATCATCATAACATGTATTTATGCGAAGTCAAGCATGTTTTGCTCGCTACAGAAAAGTATACACTTGGAAAATTCTGTCGCGTCTGTAGATCAAGGTCTACCATTCGAATTAGTGAACTATGTACACGCACCTGTACTTTGTTTGTATGTAAATACAAACGGACAAGGCGCGGTCGGGGTTATCTATATCTCACACAAGCAGCAACGAATGACTGAGAAAGATAAAAGTAACGGTAACGGTCACAAAATAATCTTTGATCCACAGCAGCTGTTCGACATACCATGTGTTGGTACGCCAGAGTGCTTGAGAGAGGACTGCAACATCGGATCGGAACTGCCTTCATTGCCGGTTTTATTCTTTCCGGCAATTTTGTTTTGCTTGAGACTTTCGATGGCTGCGCACGTAAACGAGTGTGCCTGTTGTTCGATAACTAGTCGTACAAGATTGCGGAATCTGTAGATCATAGTAAGTTTAAGCTAACAGTAAGGAGGCGGTATAACGATTCAATATAACCTACACCCACCTAAGCCCGTGTTCAAAATAAACACATACAGGTAAAACAAACGCCAGGTGCCACACTCAAGAATTCTCAAATCAGATTGATAGCGTCAATGACCAATGTATAGACATGTTTCCGTGCATCAACCAGGAAACTGGTACAAAGCTGACAAATTTAAAATTCCTGCTCACTGACATGCAAGGTAGCAAAATCATGAAATTGTACAGTCAAATTATGTACCTATTCTTAGATCGGCAGTGACGCCAAAAGCTCTGTATAACCAATGCCGCGTTGTACTCGTCCACTCTAATAGACGCGGGATCTTTCATGGATACGTTCAGGCGGAATCTATCAGTATAGCAGTAAAATAAAGCAGAGAAATAAAAATAAGAAACATATTGCTAAGCTCACCATGAACATTCGGAGATAAAAATTTATTCCAAGCG